TAAAAATGAGCCCTGGTAGTGCAATGGTTAAGTGCTTGGCTGCCAACCAAAAGGTTGGTGGTTCGAACCCACCCAGAGGCTCTGAGGGAGAAGGACCTGGTGATCTGTTTCCGTTAAGAGTACAGCCTAGGAAACCCTATGGGGCAGTTCTACTCTGTCACATGGGGTTGCTATGAGTAGGAATCAACTCGACGGCACCTAATGATAACAATATTCCTGGAATATGAAGAGACATATACGACAGGTAGGAGAAGGGACTTTGAGGTTAGAAGTCCTAGCTGATAATGAGAGTGGAAGCTTGTAGAAAATAAAGGCCGAATCAGCCATGGAACTGAGATCCATCCAGGCATATCCAGGCAGCAGTAGTTGAGGGGTGAATGATGAAGAAACTGTGAGGGGGTGAGGGTCCCTCCCTGTGTTTATTCACAGAAGAGTGTGATCAGAGACCTGCCTATCAGACATTTGCCACCGCTCCCACCTGTATCATCCCCATTTTCACTCTGACTAGATTTTAACCAGACACTCACAGATTATCTTGTGCGACAGATGAGATTGAATATTATAAAACATGAAACAGGAAAAAAAAAAACAAAAACCAAACAACTAACTTAAAAAGAAAGAAGACTCAGACTGAAACGAGAAGGATGCGCAGCCATGTTGAGCGTTAAGGGTCTGTCGGTGAGCAGCGGTGGGGGCAGTGGTGGTTCAGTGGTGGAATTCCCACCTTCCATGCAGAGTCGTGGGTTCGATTCCTGGCTAATGTAACCTTAAGTGTAGCCACCACCCATCCGGTAGTGGACTTGTGTGTTGCCATGATGTTGAACAGGTTTCAGTGGAGCTTCCAGACTAAGATGGACCAGGAAGAAAGCCTGGCAGTCTACTTCTGAAAATCAGCCAATGAAAACACTACGGATCACAATGGTCCAATCCAAAACCAATCATGGGGATGGCGCAAGACCGGGAAGTGTTTCATTTTGTTGTGCGTGGGGTCACCACGAGTCAGGGCTGACTTGACAGCAGCTGACAACAACAACAAGAAGAAGAGCAAGAAAGCAGAGTGCTGCTGGCTGGCATATTTGTAAATCCTATAATATCTCCTTGTCCACAATCCAAGGAATGAAGGTGAGCAGAGGGCAGTCCCCACCCCCTCCAGTTCCACAGCAGGACCATCACACAGAGAAACCAGACCACAAAATGAAGGACGCGGTCTTCACTGCAAAGTAAAGGATCACAATGACAATACCAACTGCCCCACAACAGAGGACCGTGGTGGCAGTATCTGAAAGAGAACGGGGGGGGGGCTTTAGGAGAGAGCAGCTTGGGAAGAAGTTTGACTACTGAGGGACCACGGTGTAACCTAGGAAGCTGATGGGGTTCCCAGGAGACTAGAGCGAGCCCACAGTATACATGGTGACACACAAACCCATCGAGGGTGCTTCAAGGCCTCCACAGTGACCAAAAGAAACCAAGATTGGCAACGTAAATTGCAGCTGTCCTCTGCAGACAGCTGGCAGAAGGCGACCTGGCCCAGGGGTACGACTGTAATGGCTCAGCTCAGCGAGCAAACAAGCTGCTGTGTTCTGCACAGGCCCTGGTGCCAGTATAAACAGCCGTAGAAGCCTGGTGTGGATGGATTTGAGTGACTCCGTGGTGTGGTCACAAAGGCGTGCTCTGCTCGTACAAGGTTGTTGCTGAATAAGTAAGGACACGTCGTAAAAAGGGGAAGAACTGAACTTGGACAAAGCGACTTTTCTGGTGAGTCAGGTCAGACACAGGGCTGTTAGTGGAAAAGACTGAAGGTACGTTTCAGATTCAGATCATGTCAGCTTAGTAGGTTTTTTTTCTGTGAAAGTATACACAGCCAAAGACACATCATTTCAACAGTTTCTATAGGTATGATTCAGTGACATTGGTGACATTCTCAAGTTGTGCAACCATTCTCATTATCCCTTTCCACATTCTTCCACCACCATTATCTTAAATTCACTGCCTCCTAAGCTTCCCATCCAACCTTTTGAGTTGTCATTGTCAATTTGATCCCAGGTAGATAATTCTTTAAAAGAGGACAATGCTCAAAGTAGACATACTTTACTAATTAAGATAAGTTATTGTTTGGTTCAAAGAGGATTTCAGGGGATAGTTTTGGTTTAAGGTTTAAAGAATATCTCAGGGAAATAGTTCCAGGGACTCTTCCAGCCCCAGTGGTTCCATAAAGGCTGGATTCCAGGAGAATTTGAAATCCTGTTCTGCATTCTTCCCCCTTTTGATAAGGACTCCTCTATAGAATTTTTGATCAAAACATTCAGTAATGGTAGCCAGACACCATCCAGTTCTTCTGGTCTCATGGCAAAGGAGGCAGTTGTTCATGGAGGCAACCAGACACGCATTCCATTTCCTCCTCCTATTCCTGACTCTCCTTCTTCCTCTGTTACTCTAGGTGAATGGAGACCAATTGTTGTACCTTGGATGGTTGCTTGTATAGTAGCCAAAGTTTAGAAAGGGGGATCTCAATTGAACAGCAATTGAATATTGATCAGCAAACCCTTGATGCATATATGGTGCTTCAGGAAGCAGCCGAGCACAGGAGCCTGAGGACTGCTGGCAGAAATTATCCTTATTCTGGTAAAGGGCTGGAGTAGAAAACATCTGGGAAGGGAATGGGAGAACAAAGATGGCAACTGTGGGGAAAGAAGATGGTTTCCGTTCTATATGGAGACCCCCCGGGGGGATTGGATGGCCAAGAAGGGCAGGCTGTGTCTCAGACAGGAAGGAAGTACATTCATGGGATCTTATGGAGCAAGGAAGGCCTGCATAGCTTTCACGGAGCCTGAGTGGAAAGAGTCCTCACACTTGCCCATTATCAGCTGGCTGAACAATACATATAAACTCATACATTTAGTATCTTAAAGAAAGGAGTCTGCCAGCTTCATTCCACCCACTGTCATTTTAAACATACAAATGTACATTTGAGGGAGACCTGGTGGTGCAACGGTTAAGCGCTTGACTACTAAGTGAAAGGTCAGCAGTTGGAACCCACCCAGCGGCTCCACGGGAGAAAGACCCAGTGATCTGTTCTCATACAGATTGTTGTTATTGTGTTGTTAGGTGCTATTGAGTCAATTCTGACTCAACCACCTGTTGTGACAGAGCAGAACTGCCCATAGGGTTTCCTAGGCTGTTATCTTTACAGGAGCAGATCGCCAGGTCTTTCTCCCGTGGGGCCACTGGGTGGGTTCGAATCATCAACCTTTTAGCAGTTGAGAGCTTAACCATTGTGCTACCAGGGCTCCTCCTCGTAAAGATTACAGCCTAGGAAACCCTATGGGGCAGTTCTACTCTGTACATGGGGTCACTATGAGTCGGAATCGACTTGACGGCACCTAATAAAGACGACAACAGCAATGTAAGTCTGTGGTTAGTGTCCGTCATATTTAGCCATTAGGGAAATGCTGGGAAGGGTATATGTGGTAGTTAGGAGGGACACACCCATCAAACTCCTTACTCAGGGAGCTGAGCTAGAAGGGGTGCGGAGCCTGTGTGAACATTACTTATTTTGTCAGTTATGAAGAAGACCCAAGTTTTTCCCCAGTAAAAACGTACCATGGATGTGACCGTGAAACTGAAATAAAGGGCTGTACATCTTTCTCAACAGACCATATACTGTTCAAGAGTGAATTTAATCCCAAAGCTCTTGGACTATGGGGCTATAAAGTGACCAAAGACTTGAAAACCACACTTGTTGCTACTTAATGGTTTCACATCTGTCCTCGGACCCTCCTGCGGCGATCTGGAGGGGCTCGTTTCCTCATAGGTTAATAGGACCCAGTATGCGGGCTGGGTGCTCCAGCTCTCTCCTCCTGAGGAGAACGGCCTCTGGCTTCCTTCCAAGCTCATGACAACTACTTCTTCACAGGCTTCCCATATAACTCCAGTCATTTTCTTGATACCTCTTTAAGATGTGAACGCTCAAGAATATTTACTTGTTCTTTCCCCTAATAAAAATAGCACCCATTGCTTTGGGTTTTGTAAGAATGCACATAATAACAAACTCTCCCCACTATAAATAGCATTCTCATTCCACCCACGTCTAACAGAATTCCCTCCCGGCATGCCTGGCATCGTGGTCTGCAGAGTCAGGCATTACTGGATTGGGCTGACAAGGTGATTCCAGAGATAAGAGTCTGCGACACAGAATTTCAGCAAAACAGTCTTAGAGAAAGGAGCCCTGGTGGCGCAGCCGTTAAGCACTTGGCTGATAACCCAAAGGTGGCGGTTTGAATCTAGCCAGTGGCTTTGTGGGAGAAAGACCTGGTGATCTGCTCCCATAAAGATTACAGCCTAGGAAACCCTGTGGGGCAGTTCTACTCTGTCAAATGGGGTCACTGTGAGTCGGAGTCAACAGCCTTAGTGAATTTAACAGAATGCTGCACAGAATTTTAAAAAACTTAGTATTTCAGAGGCCGTAATCACCAATTAGAGCTTCACTGAGTAAACTGAACTTTTCTTCTACTTCAACTGAACTGATAACTGTCTTTTCCCTATTGAAGCTTTTTCCTCTTTGATTAACCTCTGAGTAAAACCAGCCACCATGGAGTGAACTCCGACTCATAGCGCCCCTGTGTGTGTCAGAACAGAACTGTGCTCCATAGGGTTTTCAATGGCTGACTTTCTGGAAGTAGATCACCAGGTCTTTCTTCTGAGGCACTTCAGGGTGGACTCAAACCTCCAAGCTTTTGGTTAGCCGCTGAGCACATTAACTGTTTGCACCACCCGGGGACCAGGTGCTTATGTAAATTTTAAATTGGAATTTAAACCCCCCAAACATGTGAAAAATGAAAAAAATATTTCCTTATTCCTTCCTGTCCAAGCATAGTGCCTAGCATAAGGTCTCATTCAGTAAACATTGGTCAATTGTTAATAATCGTTCTGGTTTTTAGGTAACATGACAAAGAATTAAAATCAATTTTGATCCAGTGATGCCCACCACAGTCCTCACCTACCTAGCTAGCAAGTCGATCAGTTCAAGCTTTGACATCCCGTCAGGAAGCAGCCGAGGAATGGCAGCAACACAGGTCCTGAAAAGATCAATTTTTGGCTTTCTCTCACCCCTAGAATTGGAAAACAAAGTTTAAACCTAGGTCACAAGGCTGTGAAAATTAAATATATATAGATACATACACATGCATATATACACGCAGCTATATACACAGAGAGATCAAATACATGCACAGAGAGAAGACTCCACGTCTTCTGAATCACAGTCAGTGGACGGGACCAGGTTGTTGCTGTCCTTGGTGCCGTGGAGTCGATTCCAACTCATAGCAACCCAACGGGACAGAGGAGAACTGCCTCATAGGGTTTTCCAGGCTGTGATCTTTATGGGAGCAGATGGCCAGGTCTATCTTCCACGGAGGCTCTGGGTGGGTTCGAACCACCAACCTTTGGGTTAGCAGCCCAGTACGTAACTTGTGTCACCTGGGCTTCTTTGAGAGCCCCATGTTACTCTCCAATGTTTCTGCCCTCTATAGCTTGGCCAGTGCTAAGAGAACTTGTGAACATTTTCATGTAAGACAGAGGTATACATCTACCACATGCCTTGCCATTCAGCTGAGTTCCTTGGGTTTGTCCCCGTGGGCTGGGTTTAAAACACCAGATTCACAGGAATGCCTGTACGTGTCAGGATGTGAGGAATATACTGCAGTCATTCCCACATTCAGCATTTAAAAACGGAATTTTAATGCATAACAAGGAACGGTGCCTCTAACAGGTGTGACTTCCAGAAGCTTGTCTCTCTGACGAGTTCTGTTTCTTCCTCTACAGCCCACATCTCCATTTACAAGAAATTAAGTACTTCCAAAATAAGCCTTACACAATGACAAGAAAAATCCGGAAATGCGTTTAGTTGTGTCCCCATTTCTGATTTTCCAAAAGACACCAACAGTCCTGATTTCTATGGAGGTTGTTTTTCTCTTTCTAATTACTCTCCTGAGAATATGAATGGCTAATGTAATTAACGCCTTTTGAAGGAGCCCTGGCAGCTTGCATTGATTAAGTGCTCGGCTGCTAACTGAAAGGTGATTGGTTCGAACCTACCAGCTACTCCACAGGAGAAAGATGTGGCAGTCTGCTGTTGTAAAGACAACAGCCTTGGAAACCCTATGGGGCAGTTCTACTCTGTCCTATAGGGTAACTATAAGTCAGAATCGACTCGACAACAACAATGCCTTCTGTACTCTGTTGTAAAATCTGAAGAAAGTATGTAAATTTTATAATAAATTATGTGTATCTCTGGCTTAAATAGGTAACCATTTGATTTTTCACTGCTTATTTTATCAATAACCTTTAAGGAAGACTTAAGCTACCCATCAAGTCTTTTAAACAACCTAAGTGACAAAACGTAACAGCATATTTAAATTCTGATGATTTATTCTTCTGACAATACCTATAAAACTGGAACCACATTAATGCAATCTTGGGACGCCAGGACAATGAATGACAACGCAAAGCAGCACAGGAGTGATTCACTCTCGGAACGGTTAACTGGGATTAGAACAGGCAGGCAATGAGAAGAAGCCTCCCAGTCTGTAATCTAAAAATCACATCAAATGGCAATTCTGCTCTGCGCCATTACTAACTAGTGTGCTTTTGCAAGCTTGTCAAGAAGGAATACAAAACTGTCTAAGTGAAAAATAAAACACGTGTATGTCGTGTCGACTTCTCAAAAACTATGCTTTTGTGCAAAGTCCTAAGAGTATTTTCTCTCCTTTTCCAGGGTCCTTCTGCATGAAGTGTATGAGCAGTCCCAAGAGGGTGCAGGTGCAAAGGAAAGGTGTCTGTAGCTGCCCTCCTCAGCAGCGGGGCAGAGACAGTGCTGGCTGAGGGAGCTCCCTGATTGCTCAAGGGTCACACCGTGAGGAGCTGACGCGCTTCTCCAAGCTTGCTCGCCAGATGTGGTAAGCAGCTGGGATTATTCACCTATCTGACGGAAAACAGAGGACCCTGCCTGGCCTCCAGTGTAAGGCAAACCCTGCAGACTTCCAGGCTCAGAAAGCAAGCTGAGCTGAGAGACTCACTGGTGCTTGATTTGCTTTGATACTGCCATCTTTGCTCTCTGGGTTTTCATGGAAAGCATGAGAACCACTAAATGAATGTAATTAAGAAAACTTATTAACAGATGTTAAAACTGTTATTTTTTATTTTTCTGCTTGAACCACAAAAGGGATGAGAAATGGAGATAGAGCAACAGAGGATACTCAGTGCTCAAGTTCATGTTCTAAGCCGGGCCTGGGAAAGGGAGGGGCCAACCTCAGATATCAACTTAAATGACTGTTTCTGTTAGTATGACGTTGGCCTCCACCCTGTTCTCCTGAATGCTCACAGGACTGCCCAACATTTCTCCTTGTTTTTTAGAAATGTAGCACTAGTAATTTTCCACTCAGGAAACTGCCTTAAAGCGTAGCCTAAGAAATATTCCTAGCTCATAGGAAGAAGAAATGCAGTGTGTGGCTAACTGCCTCCAGGAACAGCTGCCTCCTTTGTCATGAGACCAGAAGAACTGGATGGTGCCCAGCTACCATTATTCAACGTTTTGTTCCTCCCCCATTAACATAAACTCACTGTCCCCCTCCAAAGGTTCCCATCTAATCTTTCAAGTTACTGTTGACCATTACTGAACATTTTGATCAAAGATTCTATAGAAGAATCTTGAGCAAAAGGGGGAAAATGCAGAACAGAATCTCAAATTCTCATGGAATTAGCGTTTCTGGAGTTACGGAGGCTGGATGAACCCCGAAACTATTGCCCTAAGATAATCTTTAAACCTTAAACCAAAAATATCCCCTTAAATCTTCTTAAAACTAAACAATAGTTTAGCTTAACTAGTAAAGAATGTCTGCCTTGAGCATTCTCTTCTCTTAAGAACTATCTATGGTGTATGAAGGAGCCCTGGTGGCACAGTGGTTAAGAGCTCAGATGCTAACCAAAAGGTTGGCAGTTCAAATCTACCAGCCGCTCCTTGGAAACCCTATGGGGCAGTTCTACTCTGTCCTATAGGGTCGCTATGAGTCGGCATCGACTTGACGGCAGCAGGTTTGGTTTTGGTTTTATGCGGTATCAAATTGACAACAGTGACTGGAAAGGTTAGACAGGAACCTCAGGGGCAACTAATTTATGTTGCTGGGGGAGGAACAACTCAGAAAAGGAAGGTGAGAATGGTTGTACCACTTGAAGAATGTAATCAATGTCACTGACTTGTACATGTAGAAACTTGAATTGGTGTATCTGCTGTGCATATTCTCAACAACAACAAAATAAAATAAATTATAAAAAAGAAAAAAGAAAGAAATATTCTTAGCTCTATTTGGGGTCTTAAGATGGTTAAGTAGGAAAAAGTCAAAAGGGTCTTTGAAAAAGTTTAAGGTATTGTTTAAAATACAAATGAAATAACACATCGTAAGAATATTTTTGGAAATTTATGCTACTGCCCAGCAATAAAGCCTAGATTTTCTTAAAATGTAGAACTGTAACCCAATCCTGGTTCCTGCTATAATTGATAAAATCGAGCAAATACATGTTTTTTCTGCAGAGCTGTAATTCCTTATTAGATGTTGGCTATGGACATTTGATTTCTACATTCAAAGCTACATATGCTTTCAGTTGCACGGAAAGTATTAGGCAGGCTAACTATCACAGTTCAGGAAGCTTCACTGAGAACAAGTGAACTTGAGATTTATAAAGATGGAATGATTAAAAACGGTGATGTCACTATATCACACGGGTGGTAATAGAACTTGGCAATAAAATATCAGTTCTGAAAAAAGGTGGACCAGTAAATGAGTCTTTGGGCCCATATTCTATTTTACTGACTTCCTGATACTTGAGAGAACCAAAATAGATCAATCTTGGATTTGAGCTAATTTTTATAGTTAGTAAAATACCGTCAAATATTTATCTTCTCTTACATCCCGTAGAACATTGATTCCAAGAAAAAGAGAACAAAATACAGAATAAATGTTGTTGTTGTGTGCTGTCAAGTCAATTCCAACTCATACCGACCTTATAGGACAGAGTGGGACTGGCCCATAGGGTTTCCTAGGCTGTAATCTTCATGAAAGGAGCCCTGGTGGGGCAAAGATCAAGTACTTGGCTGCTAACTGAAAGGTTTTTGGTTTGAACCCACCAGCAGCTCTGTGGGAGAAAAGACGTGGCAATCTGCTCCTGTAAAGATTACAGCCTATGAAACTCTAAGGGGCAGCTCTACTCTGTTCTACAGGGTTGCTATGAGTTGGAATTGACTCAATGGCACCCAGCAAAAACAACACAATCTTCATGGAAGCAGATCACCAGATCTTTCTCCCAAGTAGCCTCTGGGTGGGTTCAAACCACCAACCTTGTGGTTAGCAGCGGAGCACTTAATGGTTGTACCACCAGGACTCCTCAGAGAATGAATAGGAAGAGCAAATTAGAAGAATCTCCACTGGTGTCTTTTGGTTAATCCTTCGTTGAAATCTTAGTCGTCATTGGTACTCACGTGATCATGTCTTCAGGTTCTTTGTTCAACATTTGGACGTTGGTTAGCATCATACACCTTCCTACTTCTTTATCAAGGTGCCTTAAAATGTTGTCCACAGCTTTTCGTACTTGAGAGTAATACAATGACATGCCTGAAAAACATGCATTATTATTACGCCATTGACTAAATCTATCAAACAATGCTATCCTCTTTTTATTTATTCTCTATAACATTTTCTTTTTTACTGAAGACTTTCTATGGGTCAATGATTTCCTTGAGTTGAGAGACAGAATGTGATTCAATATCTGTCTGTATGGTTATTGGCACAGTGCCTGTACTTAGCGGGCGTTCAATAAATATTCATGTAAATTCAGAGAACTGGAATTCAAATACTTCAAAGGACAATATCTTTCCAGAAGAGTTAAAATGAAGAAGGAAGCTGAGAGTTTTACTTTTGTTTTTTTATGTTCCTCGTTAACCTAAGAAAATTCACCATCATTACTCACATAAATGTGAATACAGGATGATTCTCATTTTGGGTTAGGATTTCAATAACTTCATATTATCCTTTGAAATAGATGTGTGGAATATTTTTTAGTGAATTAAATAAAAATGACCACATCAGAAATTTTAAAATGAAGGAACATGTATTTTAGCTATATTATTTTTACTACTGTCATTAAATATAGGATCAACGTCCTTCAGTAGAAAACAAATATCAATGTTGTTGTTGGGTGCTGTTGAGTCAATTCCAACTCATAGTGACCCCATGTGACAGTGTAGAACTGCCTCACAGGATTTCCTTGGCTGTAATCTTTATGGAAGTTGACTGCCAGGTCTGTCTCTTGTGAAGCTGTTGGGTAGGTTCGAACTGCCGCCCTTTTGGTTAGCAGCCGAGTGCTTGGCCATTGTGCTACCAGGGCTTCTTACAAATATGAATAGTGTACATATGTTGTATGTGTATATGTATTTTATCTATATAGATCATGCAATGATAAGTATGTAGTTTTGTATTTAAAATTTATACTTTAATAAGATAATTGATAATGATTGTTTCTCTTGCATTAAATCTTCAACTCATTGAATCATTGCATAGTTAAATATTTTAAAGTAAAAATATTTCCTCATGTGTTTCTTTCATATCTTTGGAATCCAGAAACTATCTTAACAAAGTTTATAGTTGGTTCCTAAATTTTAGTACCTAGTAAGAAATAAACAAATGCAAAAAAAAAAAAAAAATCATCTCTTTATAAGATTCAAAAAAACCAAACCCATTGCTGTTGAGTCTGACTCATAGCAACCCTAGCTAGATTAAAATGAGAAAAATCTCATGTAGACTAAATTCAGAATATAACCTGCTTTGCTGTGGGACTTAGGGTGTTTAAAACATAAATTAGACCAATTATACTGAAGAAAAAGAAAGAAACAAAGTACAAAACTGAGCCAGTGAATGAACGAATATATATAGGTACAGGTTTGTTTTATGAACAGGATAATCAACCAAAGCACACAGATGTCTTAGAAATTTCCTGTAAAATGCAGATAATCAATAATAGAGATTTGAAAACATCATAGATAAAAACCTAACATTTAAATGGCAAAATGTTTACCAAGAAGTTCAAAGAGTTTAAAGGGCAGTTAAACAAAACACAGCATGAATCAATCAAAGGAATTAACGTCAGAATCTCTGAAAAGCAACTTTTATAAAGGTTTTTTAAAACGTGACTCTACTAAGGCTAAGTATCTTCTTGTATTTTAAAGGCTTAAGAAAGGCCAGCTCTAACACATCTTTGAAACTCACCGTTATGGGTTGAATTGTGTCCCCCCCACCCCCAGTATGTATTATGCTATGTAATCCCATTTGGGAGTGTTTTAAACCAATCACACGTGAGATCTAAAAAGAGCAGATTAGGCAGAGAGAAGGAAGCACAAACGGAGGGGAAGAGACACGCCGCATGAAAGTCGCCAAGGAACGGAGGAACAGAAGCTGAAAAGAGACAAGGACCTTCTCCTAGAGCCCACACAGAGAGAAAGCCTTCCCCTGGAGCTGGCACTCTGAATTCCGACTCCTAGCCTCCTCAACTGTGAGAAAATAATTATTTGTTTGTTAAAGCCACCCCCTTGTGGTATTTCTGTTACAGCAGCACTAAGAATCCAAGGCACCCACCTATCATTTTAGCTTCCTCTTCCGTTAGAGTTTTACTCAAGTATGTTTTCTTCACTCTCAACGTGTTTCCTGAAGGAAGAACAGCGCCTGTCACTGGCATGGGAGGTTCGCCATCTTTCTGCTGCAAGCTGTCAGCTATGACCAAGAATGCCCTCAAACCAATGTTCATTCTCTGTAAGAGACAAGACGTTCATGACACAAAGGGTCAATTATTTAGTGGAATTAACACTTCAGTTTTTTAGAGAAGCTTGGCTTGCTGTCTAGATTAGGACTAGACAAGTAATCTAAAAGGCACAAGGGTGTAGGCAAGCCTACGAAGATAAAACTAAGTTTCTGTCACTGTCTGTTGCTGCATCACAAGAAGACAATTGGGAAGACTTTCACCAAATCTGGAGGGTATGTTTGTGACAGTTGTCATAGTTTGCTCAGGAGATCCTGGGTGTGCCTCCAAGTTCTTGTTGTTGGGCGCCGTCGAGTCGATTCAGACTATCGTGACCCCACGTGACAGAGTACAACTGCCCCATAGTCTTTACAGGAGCTGATCACCAGATCTGATCTTTCTCCCACAGAGCCACCGGGTGGGTTTGAACCGCCCATCTTTTGGTTGGCAGCTGAGTGTTTAACTGTTGCGCCACCAGGGCTCCTTGGAATATAGGTGGTTATCCTCTGGAGCAGCTGAAACTCAGGTAAACTCAGGTAAACCAAAGGCTCCAGGTCTTCCAGAAGTATTAATTCCAAAGACTGAAGACAAACAGGGTTTCCAGACATGAACCACAAAACGAAAAATCACTGCTCCTAATTGCAGGTGTTGTCTTTGAGCCACACAGGCCAGCACGTTTGGAAATGCGTTTCAAAAACTCATTGCCACAGAACTCGTTACTGATGGGAACGCATGGCCGGGTGGGAAGAAATGGCATTCTGGACCAGATGCTTCTCTTTCTCAGGCTGAGGTAAAGCACAACATTGGCTCTGAGGGATGACTCGGCAAGATAGTGGCCCTCTGAAGTGCTGATCTTAAAAGGTCAGCAGGCAGCAAAACATCTCTACTTCCTTAAACACCCATGTGGAACACCTTCACACTCATTGCTATTTTCAAATCTTATGAAGTAGTAAGTTCCCAAAGTAGACAACCACTTATAGCAGAAGATAATGGTAGTTCTAATACTAACAATGACAAACACAGTTACCATTCACTGAGCCCCTCAAATGGATCCGGAATTGCTCATTAACTCTAATCCTTAAAATAGTTACTAGCAGAAGGCATGATTAGTCCCATTTCTCAGGAGAAACTGAGGTCACACAACAAGTAAGTGGGAAGCTATGCATCCAAGTCAGTTTTGGCTGAATCACCTGTATCCCGAGTCCTCTTATACCATGGAGTACTATTATATTTTGTAATGTGAAATAACACTGACTTCTATTCATTTTAAAACTATTTATTCAAGCTTCAAGGAGTTATGGTATTTCAACCAGGATCTGATGAACATTTCTCAGACTCATTTATACCCAGTCCAATGTGTACTTTACAATTGCACGGCCTTCTATGATACTCTTTCCTTTTCCACTTTCTAGAATGAAAGAGTGTCAGCTTTTAAAAACTGATCTGCATATCAAAGTCCCTTTACTCCCTCGGTTATTTTAGTAGTTCTCTCATGAACTGATTTCCAGGACTTATGTATCTTTCCGCAGCCCTGGTGGCGCAGTGGTTAAGAGCTCGGCTGCTAACCAAGAGGTCAGCGGTTTGAATCCATCAGCCACTCCTTGAAAACCCTATGGGGCAGTTCTACTCTGCCCCACAGGGCCACGATGAGTCGGAATCGATTCAGAGGCAATGGGTTTGGTTTGGTTTTTGGTATCTCTCTCTTAAAACATGGCAGTGTCTTACGTGAGGAAATATGATGTTCAGTTTAGGATTTGCAGCACCGATACACTAACCATGGGCTGATGTATATGGTCAAGCCTCAATTATTTGCAAGTGGATTATCCAATGATGAATCATCCTTGCCAGTTCTCTAAGTTTTCCTTCTCTTCTGGACAACACAAAGGGCAGAAGTAAGGTGAGACACTTTGGGACAAACATTTTGAACTTCGTTTCAAAAATAACTTTTTTTTGCATTATGTACAGTTCTGTCTCATAATTCACCCTTTATTATCTATTTGCCTGGCCTTGAGAAATAATTTTTCTAAGTTTCAGCTTCTTTCTCTGTAAAATGGGGATAATAGTATCTATCAATCATGCAGGGTTACAGCGAAGAGTAAAGACAGTTCTTGGACTTTTCTGGTAAATATACCATATTTTTATGCAAATAATGCATGCATCACACTTTTTTTGCCAACAACGCAACCTCCTTCCCACTATTTTTGTAAGTGAGCTATGCCACGTGTTATATGTGTAGGCACAATATTTACATGGTCACGTTACTTGCAAAAAAATATGGTATATATTGCAAGCCAGAGTCTTATTGGTGTCTCCACTTTATTATTTTTTTAATTGAAATATAATTTACATGCAGTAAAATTCACTCCTTTGTCTAGTTCTGAGTTTTGACAGACATATACAGGCATGTCACCGCCATAGCAATCAAGGTACAAACAATTTCCACCTTCCCAAAAAGTTCCTTCTTAGGCCTCTTTGTAGTCAGGCCTCTTCTCCAGCTCCAGGCCCTGGCAAATGCGTGTCTAATTTCTGTCCTTATAGTTTTGCCTTCTCCAGAATGTCATATACATGGAATCAAACAGTACCCAGCCGTTTGTGTCTTGCTTCTCACACGTGGCACAGTGCTTTTGAGCTGTTCGTATGTATCAGCAGTTTGGTCCTTTTTATTGCTGAATAGTAGTCCATGGTATGAATGAATCACAATTTGCTTAAGCAAAGGGACTGTGCCTTTTTGCATCTTAGCAGCAGAGCATGAAGTCCCTGGTGCTCCCGGACCTCCAAGGCACACTTCACTGTGGTTACAGCATCCATTTCCCTGATGACGAACGACACTGAGCATCTTCTCATGCGTGTGTTGGCCATTTGTGTCTCTTCTTTGGTGAAGAGGCTGTTCATTTTTCCCATTTAAAAAATTGGGTTATTTATTTTCTTGGGTTTTGAGAGTTCTTTATGTATTCTGGATAGATGTACTGGATCAGATATGTGTTTTGCAAATATTTTGTCCCAGTCCGTGGCTCTTCACTTTCTTAACAGTGTCTTTTGAAGATCAGACTTTTTAATTTCATTGATGCCCAATTTATCAGTTTTTCTTTATTGATTTGTGCTTTTTGAGTCCTACTTAAATCTTTGCTCCCTCCAAGGCCAGAAAGACTTTCTCTTATGTCTTCTAGATTAATAGTGTCAGATTATACATTTAGGTTTATGATTTATTTTGAGTCAATTTGTGTATATAGTGTGGATTATGTGTCAAGGTTTATTATCCTGCAAGTGGATGTCCAGTTGCTCCGTGCCATTTATTGGAAAGACTATCCTTTCTCCACTGAATTAACTTTGCACCGTTGTTGAAACTCGATTGACTGGAAATGTGCAGAACTATTTCTGGATTCTTTATTCTGCTCTGTTGGTTGGTACGTTTGTCCTTCTGCCAGTGCCACACTGCCGTGATTACTGTGGCTTTATCGTAAGTCTTGGAATCAGGTTGGGCTAGTCCTCCAACTTCATTCTTCTTTTTCAAAACTGTGTTGGCTATTCTAGTTTCTTTGATTTTCAATATAAACTTTACAGTCAGTTGATTTATTTCTATAGAAAACATACAGCAGTTTTGATTGGGATTATATTTAGTCTAGGGAGTCCTGGTGTCTCAATAGTTAAGTGCTTGGACTAACTGAAAGGTTGGCAGTTTGAACCCCCCTATCGGCTCTGCCAGAGAAAGGCCTGGTGATCTGCTCCTGTAAAGATGACAGCCTAGGAAATCCTATGGGGCAGTTCTACTGTGTCACACGTGGTCACTGTGAGTCAGGATTGACTTGACCACACCAATATCATATTTAATCTACATAAATTAATCTGGGGAGAACTGACCTCTTAAAAATATCAAGTCTTCTAATCCACAAACTCAGTCTTTCTCTCCACTTACTTGGGTTTTCTTTGATTTCTCTCATCAATGCTTTGTAGTTGTCAGTATACAAATCTTACACATCTTTTGTTAGCTTTATCACTAAGCCTTTCATGTTTTCCATGATTATTGCAAATGGTCATGTTTTTTAATTTCAATTTCCAACTGTTCATTATTAGAATACAGAAATGCAGTGATTTTATATACTTATTTTGTATCCTGCAAACTTCCTAAAATCGTTTATTGGTTCTTACAGGTTTTATGTGGCTTCTTGGGGATTTTAAACTAAGACAATCATGTCATCTGGAAATAAAGACAGTTTTATTTCTTCCTTTCCAATCTGTGTGTATTTTCTTTCTATTTCTTGCGTTATTGCACTGGCTAGGACCTCCAGCTCTATGGCATTCTAGGTCAAGGCAAAAACGAGAGAAATGGAAGATGTAGAAACTCTTCTCACAGAAGGGCAAGTTCTTATGATGATGAGGATGGAAATCTTCTAGGTCTGAACTAAAACAAGATGATTATCTGAAGTCTCCTAAGTGGTGAGTGGTGGCACAGTACAGACTTTGTTTTTTAAATTAATTTTTAGTCTTTATTTGTTTGTTTATTGTTGTAGTTTAAGTGAAAGTTTACATTTCAAGTTAGTCTCTTTTACAAAAATTTATGCATACATTGTTAGGTGACCCTCGCTGCTCTCCCTGTACTGGGACAGCACACTCCTTCTTTCCACCCCGGATTTCCCGTGTCCATTCAACTAGCTCCTCACCCTCTCTGCCTTCTCATCTTGCCTCTGGGCAGGAGCTACCCGTTTAGTCTCATGTGTCTACTTGAGCTAAGACGCACACTCCTCACAGGTATCATTTTATGTCCCACAGTCCAGTCCAATCTTTGTCTGAAGAGTTGGCCTCGGAAATGTCACAGTACAGACTTTGCAGTAAGATAACCCTTTAGGCTTCTGGGCCTTGTGCCACAAGCCACTTGCTAAATATTATTTAAGACCCAAACTAGATTTACCTCCTGAGAAACTACACCCACATCTGATACACACTGATCAAGCGTATGGGATCTGCTTCATAGACTGTTCTTATTCCTGGTCTGTTTTTGAGCAGGGTTATGGGTATCACAAACTACTGATAAGTAAATTCTTCTATAACCCTACAATATCAAGAGATGTGGATGAAGATACCCAAATATCTCCCCTATTCTTGGCAGAAATACTGGAATATCTCCTCCAATTTTTGGAAGTTCAATTTTTTTTTTTTTAATATTGGTGAAAATACACAGTCACACACCTTTTTAACAATTTCTACATGTACAACTCAGTGGCATTGATTATGTTCTGCAAGTTGTACAACCATTCTCACCTGCTTCTAAAAATTGTTCTACCACCATTGACTTAAACCCACTGCCCCTTAGCTTCTCATCGAACCTTTTGAGTTGCTGTTTTTCAAACCATAGTTCCAACTGCTCCACACAGAGAGGTTAACTAGTGAATCACTGATTGAGTGAGGAGTTTGGGAAAAAAGCCAAGTATAATTTTTATGCATGCTGATAATGAAATGGCTCTCCACACATTCTTTTCAGACAAATAACCTGGTTATTCTGAGAATCAATTGCTATAGCTAGTAGAGCCATAACTACTGAGAAGTGAAAAATATTTTGAGAACCTTCCCAGCAAGGGAAAACTCTTTACACAGTTGGGCACTGGGTCTCCTTCTAGCCAAAGGCTTTGGTCATCTGCAGTGGCTTTGCCCTTGTTCCACTGGTCCACTCACTGTGGCTACAGTAATGCCAGGAGCCTCTGACGTCTTTAACATGAGGCAGAAATTTCCAAGTTTGGGCTTCCTGTTACGTCTCTAGACACGTGGCAACCTTAGTGCAAAAGAAGGGTGTGCAGGGTGTAATAGGAAGAAGCACGAGGATACCAGTGTCTGTTCTGCTGCTAACAAGTTGCCTGTTTTGAGCCTGTGGGCTCTGAACCTCCTTGCCTGACAGAATAAAGGAGCCAGACAATATCACAGTGATGCTAGGAACGGTCTTGGTTTTGTGTTTTTTTAATTTTTATGCTGTACGATTTATTTCATATTTTTGGCCTAAGAGTTTGCTATGTACTGTTTCTAATATTACAATTATTCTGTGAGATGAGCCGTTGTTGTTGTTGTTGGGTGCTACTGAGTCGATTGTGACTCACAGCGACCCTACAGGACAGAACTGCCCCATAGGGTTTTCTAGGCTGCAATCTTTACAGGAGTTGATCGCCAGGTCTTCCTCCCACGGAGCCACGTGTGGGTTTGAACCGCCAACGTCTCAGTTAGCAGTGGAGTGCTTAACCACTGTGCCACCAGGGCTCCTATAGCGATAATATGAACAATCTTTTTTTTTTAATGCTGTACAAGTATTTCATATTTTTTGCTCAAGGGTTTGTAATGTACGCTTTCTAGCATTGCAATTATTTTGTGAGATGAGCTGTTGTTGCTAGGTGCCGTCGAGTAGGTTCTGACTCACAGAGACACCTCATGACAGAGTAGAACGGCCCCATAGGGTTTCCTAGGCTGTAATCTTTATGGGAGCAGATGGTCAAGTCTTTCTTCTGCAGAGCTGCTGGGTGAGTTTGAACCACCAACCTTTCAGTTAGCAGCCGAGGGCTTAACCACTGCGTCACCAGGGATCCTTACAGGGATGACAGGAACAATCTTTTGCATTTTTTATTTTTATGCTGCACAGTTTATTTCATTTCTTTCTTTTTTTTTTTGGTTAAAGATTTGTAATGTACCATTTCTAATATTGCAATTATTTTGTGAGATAAACTAGGCAGATATTTTATCCATTTTACTGGTGAAAAAGCTGAAATTCAGAGAGGTCAATGTCACATGGCTAGCAAAAGTGACAAGTTCAGCTCTGCCGACTTCTGGTCCAGTCTTCTTCCTACATCCCATTCGGAAAGGGCCACAAAGAGGCAGCTTGCAGGCATATTTCGGTTATCTGACAGTTTTTTTAATTTTTAAAAATTTTTTTTATTGTGCTTCAGGTGAAAGCTTACAGAACAAATAGTTTCTCATGAAACAGAAGTACCCATGTTGTTTTATAACATTGGTTAACAACCCCACAACATATCAACCCTCTAACTTCTCAACCTCTTTTTTTTTTTTTGGTGAAAATATTTTAAAATTGAATATGCTTTTCATTTGCATAGGCCCACACCACTGCATGCTGTATATAATGCATATTACATTTATACATTCTATACTCATTTCCAGGATTTGTCTGCCCCTTAAGCTGGGATGCCACCACAGACACATATGTGCTTACACTATTCACTTAATTTCACTATTTTAGTAGTTTTGTTATTACTTGTACTTAGTCTTCTCTGTTTCATCACTTCCCAATACAAACCTTGTTAATCTGCATCAAAATAGTTATAATTACTTTTTGATCAAAGACACTATAAGAATCCTGATCAAAAGGGGGAAAATATACAACAGAATTTTAAATTCTCAATGGAACTGAGACTTTCTGGAACCACCAAGACTGGATGCACCCAGAAGCTACTGCCCTGAGATAATATTTAAACATTAAACCAAAACTAACCCCCAAAGTCTTCTTTGAACCAAATAGTTTAGCTTAATTAAAAAAGACTGTCTGCCTTGAGCAATGTGCTCTTTGAAAGAATTGTCTATGTGAGATCAAATTGATCACGGCAACTTGAAAGTTTAGATGGGAAGCTTGGGGGCAGTAAGTTTTTTTTTTTTTTTTTTTTTAAGTGTCAACTATTTTAACCATTTAACAATATTTTATTGTGTTTTTGGAGGTTTACCCAGCAAACTTGGGTTCCCATTCAACAACTTCTACACAAATTGTTCAGTAACACTGGTTACAGTCTTCACAATGCATGAACATTCTCAATATTTCCATTCTGGTTGTTCTGTTTTCATTAATGTAGTTTTCTTGCCCCCTTATACTCTCATCTTTATTTTAAAGTACCATATTTTTATGCAAATAGTGTGCCTTCTATATATGTTTGCCAATTGCATCCTCCCCCGGAGAGGTATTCTCATAAGTGCTGCTATGACCATTTTTTTTACATGTTGCTGTCAGTGTAGAAGGTCTGCATTATTTGTGTAAAAATATGGTAGTTGTTGGCTGTTTGGTCTCATATAGATGATTTTTTAAGGAGGAGAGTATTCACTAGGGGGCAATGAGTTTAAGATGACGGTAGTGTGATAATTTGGAAGAGGATACTGAGAACAGAAGCACAACTTGAAGAATGTAACCAATGTCACTGAATTATACATGTAGAAACTATTGAGATGGTGTACCTTTGGCTGTGTATACTTTCACCAAAACGAAAAAAGAAGAGAAAAAAATAGTTAAAAGTGTTTTTGAAAGAAAACATCCTGACTCTAGTGATGGATGAATTTTTTGGACAAGAATTACTCTTATAGAAGAACAGAAAATGGTAGCATATTAACTTTTCACCATTTTAAGTCAGTTTGTTGAAAATGTTACTTCTGAAATTCCATCATCTCCACTATTTAGTCAAATAACATGGAGAGAAACAAACAGCAGATGTTTCAGAGAAGACGTTCCTCACCCCAAGCTCCAAAGTCTCAAAGCAAAGAAAGGTGTGGGTCTGTGAACAGACACTCTGTTAGAAGCACATAGAAGGACTCATACCTCTGGACTGAGACTGAAGGCTTTTGCTGGTTTTCCCACGCAAAGAAAATCAAAAATGATTTCTTTCATTGCAAAATCTAAACGCTCCTGTAGTGAAAACAAGAAAATAACACAAAGGGGTTAAAATACACATTCAGCATGAAATGGCTATTCTCATCACGTGTACCTAACAGGCGAACTACGAAAGGAGAGGTACTTCTACATTTTATGAAACACAGAGACTTCCCAAAGGAGGATTGCACCCATAGGAACCTTCTGTGGATCCATTTCTGTTTTCATATGGTTTGCAGACATGCCTTCATTATATGGAGCCCTGGTGGTACAGTGGTTAAGAGCTCGGCTGCTAACCATAAGGTCAACAGTTCAAATCCCCCAGCTGCTCCTTGGAAAACCTTTGGGGCAGTTCTACTCTGTCCTATAGGGTTGCTATAAGTCAGAATTGACTTGATGGCAATGAGTTTGGTCTTCATTGTACGTGTAATTAGCTCCTAAAACAGGGAATGGTTAATGAAAAACAAAAAGTAAATAAAACCTGGAGGGTCTGTGCTTAGAAACAATCCAAACTCTGCTGATTTGTATTGTGTTGCTGTTGCTGTGTGCCGGTCCGTCAATTCTGACTCATGGCAACCCCACGTGACAGAGTAAAACTGCCTCATGGGGTTCTCTAGTCTGTAATCTTGCTGCGTGGTGGGTTCGAACAGCCAACCTTTTGGTAAGCAGCCGACCACTTAACCATCGCGCCACCTAAATGCTGGTAACTTGCTGCAACTCGGTTTAAAACGTATTTTTAAAAATACCACTGCACAATGACCATTTTTTTCTATTCTCTAACATTAAAAATTCTTCGGCACAGATTATTGCAAACAATTCTGCTACTGAGATGAATCATCAATAAATAAGGCATATTAAGGTTTGCTAAATGAGAACGTTTAAGCCAGATTCTAATAATTAGAGACAGCAGCTACTAAGATATGACAGGTTCATTTTATAATTAATTAAACCTGAAAAATCAGAGCACATTCTCAGCCAGGTGTTAACTCTACTTGGGACAGTTACAGCAAGTCATCTGCCTGCAAAGCAAGAAATGTCTTTCCCTAAGTGTGTATACTACAGAAGCATTTCATTGTACCAAACACACAAAGAGATATCACATATTAAATAGTCTACCAAGTAATAATTAAAACGCCTTGGTGGCTCAGTGGTTAAGCACTTGGAGCTAAAAGAAAGGTCAGCAGTTCAAATCTACCAGCTGGTCCATGGGAGAAGGATGTGGCAATCTACTTCCATAAAGATTACAGCCTTGGAAACCCTATGGGGCAACTCTACTCTGTCCTATAAGGTTGCTCTGGTAGGAATTGACTCGACAGCAATGGGTAAGTAATAACTGAATCCTACATCTTTATATACTTCAGCAGTATTTTCACACATATGATGTCACTTCACCTGCACAACACTGTGAGGTATGCTGCCGAATATTTTCATGCCCATTTTACTGAGAAAGAAGATGTTTCTGACTTGCTTACAATCACAGAGCTGGCCAAGGACGGACCGGCTGACAGTCACAGAGCTGGCCAAGGACGGACCGGCTGACAGTCACAGAGCTGGCCAAGGACGGACCGG